ATGGTGGTATATCGATACCAGGATCGAAACCTGGCTTTGGACGGAAATGGGGTGGAATGGGTGTGGAAATGGTGTTAAAACTTGACCAACTATTATTATATATACTTGATATGCTAAAACATAGGAAACCCCAGCCTTATAGGTTCCTTTTGATTATATCCAACTTGCATCCAATTTCCACAAAGCAATGCTCATAGGGTGGGAGTGGCCAGTACAAATCGTACTGATAAATTTTGGCACACAGGTTCTGCTGAGGAGTATAGCTCTAAGGAGTTTGACGGTTGAGGGGTTCATTCCTACGCTTGAGTTTGGCGATCTTATCTTCAAGCTGTTCTGAATGAATGTTATATTTAATTCCGCTAGTGCGGCGATGTAATAATTTATGTAATTCTGCACTATTTGTACTCTGATATTACGTTGTATGGATGTGATATTCGACTGGGATTTGGGTAATATGATCTACAATGGTCTTATTACACTTCGACGCTGTGGATTTTCCTTCGCGGAAATCAGGTCGTTTCAGCTGCCTCCTTGCCTTTCCCTTCCTTCGGCCCGCCGGCCTATCGCAGAAAGCGCTTGAGGAGGTCACAGTCCTTGTAGAGGTGATTGACGGGGTAGGCGTGGTTGGTGCATGGGTTCTCCATGAGCTCGTTGAAGTGGTCAAGTAGGCCCTGCTGGGGCTACTCGCCCGTGCGATCAGCCGCGGCGACCAACACGGGGTTGGCCGGTCGGCGCCGACCGTTTTTGTTCTTTTTGCCCCTCTGCTTGGAGGGGCCCTCCTCCTGATCCTCACGCTTGGCCTTGCCTTTGTCCCAGCCTTCGTTGAAGACCGCCCCGACCGCCTCCTCGCCGGAGGCATGGTTCGTGGTGACGTCGAGCAGGTCGCGGGTGGTACGGGGCTTTAGGCAGCCAAGCTTGTGGATTAGGGACTCGCAGGTTGTCCCGGTGAGGAATGCGCTGATGACATCCGTGTCGACGACATCGGGAAGGGAGTTGCACCGTTGGGAGAACCTGTGGATGTAATCCCATAGGGACTCGCTGGGCTCCTTCTGGTAGCTCTTGAGGTCCTAGGAGTTCTCAGGGCGGACATACGTCCCCTGGAAGTTCCCGACGAAGACCCTCTTGAGGTCCGCCCAGTCACGGATGCTATTGTGTGGGAGGAATTCGAGCCAAGCTCAAACATGTTCCTTTATGTAGATAGGGAGGTACTGAATGATGAAGTGGTCATCATCTACTCCACCGGCTCGGCAGGCGAGTCGGAAGTCTTCAAGCCATATACCAGGGTTCATCTCCCTGGTATACTGGGTGATGTTGGTAGGCGGTCGGAAGCGCTGTGGGAACGGTGCTCTCTGGATGCGTTAGCCAAAGGCCCATGGTCCCATGCCATCTGGGCTAGGACTCTGGTCATTCGGCCAGCGACCGCGCCTAGGGTGCGTTTCACTATTCCCCGTGATGGTCCGGCCAGGGTCTGTGTCGCCTGCCCTCACTGCTGCTCGATGGACGTCATCATCATGCTGGGCCCAACGCCGTTGTTGATGATGCTGTGCGAGCGTCTTGGCTCGGCCCGAAGCCGCTCGCGCACAGGGGACCGGCGTGGACCAGGCTCTAGGTCAAACTATGGCGTGGCTGCGGCCTCCTATGCCACGCTCGGCGGCCGTAACCGTGAGTGGATGGAGCGATTCGTCTGGTGCATCTCTACTCCCGTGGGGAGAGAGGCCATGAGTCGGTGTCGCGATGCGGAGCTCTCTGCCTATTGAACGGCGGTGGTTTCCACCAGTCCTGGGAGGTTCCAGTGGATCGCCTGTTCCTGGGGGTCGTTCGGCTCGGGAAGGCCGTGCAGAAGCATTGTCGCAGCGGCGATGTTCTGGCTAGCCCGAGCGAACTATGGGGGTCATTCCCACCATCCATGATGTTGCGTTGGACCTGGCGGGCATGACCTCGGGTGCCACTCACCGGGTTATGTGCATGGGGCACAGTGTGGTTGCGCCGAGCGCACCGGCGCAGGTGGTGGCCGGTTCTATCGCCGTTGTCGTAGCTCCTCGCCGTGCTCTCGTGTGATCACGAGGATCCCCGCACGAGGGTCTAGAGGGGTGTGAGTCTACAAGGACTCCATTACCACCAACGGTTGTCCCGAAGCATCCGCCATAGCGCACTCCCGGGACGGACGGTGGCTAGGTTCCACGTCACCGATGCTGGAGCCGTCACTCTCAACATCGTCATCCATAAGGTCAAGGAAACAGGTGGGAGCATAGCTCACCATCCCCACAAATTCAGACGTGAGAGGGGGCGGTGCCAGCATCCTTCGGAGCCCCTGGGCATACGCATCCACGGGGGACACAAGGCCATAGGGGAACCGGTCGCATGGCATTCGCGGCAGAGACAACGGGGTCCCTCCGGATAATCGGTGGAAGATAGTAAATAGCGAGTAAATAACAGTATGTACATTAATCATAGAGGGGTTTCACCAGAGCGTTTGCTCCGAATGAAGCGCAGGCGCCTCATCATTGAAGTCGTTGGGTGTCCTAGAGCCGACGAAGGGCGCCCCTCCGACGGGCACCGGGATGGTTGCCTCCTCGCGGACGTGTAGTACGCCGAGCCGGTCGGTGATGAAGTTCAGTCTTCCAAAGAGGAAGGCCTAGGACGGCTCAAAGACGGGTGTAACCCGCATCCCAATAGGTGGGAGTGTGGGAAACTCTAGCGAGCCAAAGCGAGTCGTATTGTTTGAGCCCGCCATGGCGAAGGTGGTGGAAAAGTGGACCAAAAGCGTGAACGTACAACGTCTTCCCCACGGACGGCGCCAACTGTCGGTGCAGAAAATGACCAACACATAAATATTTGTAGTTTTGCTGTACGTTGTGATCGGAGGTGGCCTAGCACTCAATGACACATGGTTTATACTGGTTTAGGCAACGTGCCCTACATCCAGTTTGAGTCGGTCGGTGACTTTATTCCTGAGCCCAGGTGCCCGAAGTTTGCTGTGGGGTTACAAATGAAAGGGAGAAAGATGGGGGGTATAAGAGGTCCGATCGGACTGTGGTCTGAAGGGCCTAGAGTGATGGGAGCTCTGCTATGTGCTAAGTGTTCGAGTGTGTGCTCGAGGTTTGAACCTATTGGTTCTGCTGTTGTGTGTGTTAGTGAACTGATCGATCTACCTATTGAGAGAGAGCGTATCCCCTTTTATAGATGAAGGGGATGGCCTTACAAGTGAGACAGGGAGAGTATACGTATGCCAAGTCTTGTTGCCCACGCCATTGGGTACAAGACGATTGTAGGCACCCATAACACTGTTAATGTCAGATGCATGTGGCAGGTTGCGTCGTCTTCTTCTGGTATAGCAGACATCGGTGCCCGCCATACTCTTGATGCCGAGAGTCATGCAGGGGGTTTTACCATGTTCGCCTGGTACAGTAAATGCCGACGCCCACAACACTGTTGATGCCCAGAGGCATGTGGGGGGAGCCTTACCATTTTTGTCTGGTATGAGAGTTGATGGCGCCCACAATACTGTAGGAAAAATGTCGGCACCTACAACACTGCTTGGGTTCTGACATGTCAGGAAGGTTTGTAGGGTACCCTTCTGACATGCCCTATTGGTACTGTCCTGCAGGTGTACAGGGCACGGTCCTTGGTATTACGGTTGACTTGAGTGGCCTGCTTTACTTTCTCTGTTCGTTTCCTGGTCCTCACCGAGCGGGCGTCCCCGGTCGGTTGGTCCCAGTCGGCTCTGATTGCGCTCATCGGAGAAGAGCTGTTAGCAGGGGTTTCAGCGCATCCCCGGTCGGAGACGTGGGTCAGAGTCGGAAGTAGTGTTTGGCCGGGCCTTTCGGTTGGAGAGGCCGTCCGGAGGCGGGCCAAAGATGAAAGCGAGCGTTGTTCCTCCTGAGTGAGGCCTTTCGGTCAGAGAGGTGGGCCGGAGTCGGAAGCGGCGTCGTTCCTCCTCGGCCAGGCCTTCTAGTTAGAGATTGGATTGCCCTTCTAGCCTGTCGTTTAGGTTTTTCGGTCGGCCCATGAGTTGCGCGTCGTTCACAACGTTGTCTGCTGGGCCGGGCCTTTGTTGGGAAGTCGATCCATGAGGGACCATGGGTTTATGAACCCGACACTACTGGAGGATGAAAGATATAGAAAACACTTTTTATTTAAATGGCTCTGCGACTAACTTTTTGACATGCTCTTAATATTTTTTAGCCCCAGGAACGTTGTTGTGGTTGGTGCAGCAACGCTGACGATAGTTCTTTTGGGTAGGAGGATCTTTTAAAAAAGGTTATTCCTTCAAAAATGAGTTGAACGGTCTGGTGAAAACTAGAAACGATGGGCTTGGACAAAACCTCTAGGCTAACCCGAGAACAACTAATCACTGAAATCTGTTAAGAACGTAGGCAGGGGCAGATTTGGGCCACCGGCTGCCCGGGCTGCAGCCCGGGGCGAGGCCCGAGAGTAGTGGGAAGTTCCTTCATAAAAATGGCATAAAAAGACTGCCTGGCCCATTAGCCCACCCCGAGGAGAAGTCAGCCAGCAACTGGCCAATGCACTAGCCTAGCTCCCACTCGCACAATCGCACTCAATCGGCTCCCGTCTGCCTCCACCCCAACCATCTCCCTTCTCGTCTGCCTTCAGACTCACCCTCCCGTCCCGACTCCCGACCGCCCCAAGCCCCTAAGTCCCTGGCTCCCAGCCGGCCACGCACCGCGCCCCCACTGGCCGCACGGCCGCGCGCTAGGTCGTCGCCTACCCGCCTGACCGCCTCGCCGGTCAGCCCCTCACCGGCTCACCCCCTGCCGCCCCACCAACCGCGCGCGGTGCCCGAACGCCCCCACGCCGGCCCCGTACTGAAATTGCTTCACCACTGCAGCAGGTCAGATGACAGATGCCATTTCTTTTTGAAATTGCTCCATGATTGCTACCTTTTACATTGCAAAGTAATGAATATTTCATTTCATTGAGCAGGACTGCCATTGAGTATTTGAGTCTTAGTTTGCAATTGCAACATTTCATACCATAGAATGGAGAAATACTATGCTAAAAAGAGTTGTGCCGAAACTATAGAGAGCTGGGTTGAGCAAAAAAGACCACGGATTGAACTTGATATGAGAGATATAGATGCTGATCTAGGAGATAGGAATCCAATTGATGATTTTCATCATGACATTAGGGATGAGGCAAGGAGAGCATATCTACAAATAGGTCCATATAGGCCAGCTGGTCATAAGTTTACAAAAACAAAAAAAGATGGTAAAGGCCAATCAAGAGGATTTGTTGGATCATGGTTTGATCAATTTGATTTGTTAGAGTACAGTGTAGCCAAGGATGCAGCTTATTGCTATCTCTTTAAGCCACAACAAGCTGGGTTTCATAGTAATGATACATTCACCAAAGTTGGGTTTAGAAATTGAAAGAATGCAAATGATTCTTTCAAGGAGCATGCTCAATCAATTGATGGCTTTCATAATAACGCAAGAAAGCTTGCACTTAATTTATAAAATCAGAGGCAACGTGTTGAACATGTGTGGACTGATATAAGTGCAGCAGAAGAGGAGGCATGTAAAGCTCGTTTAACTATCATGTTAGGCATTGCTAGATTTCTCCTTTTACAAGCTCTAGCCTTTCGTGGACATGATGAGTCTAAAACATCAAGAAATAAAGGGAACTTTGTGGAGATGCTTGAATGGTACAGAAAGAAGGATTCCGAGGCTGCACTTGTGACCGGTGAAAATGCTCCACGGAATAATCAAATGAGTAGTCCAATGGTTCAGAAAGATTTGGCTAGGGCTTGTGTGGAGGAGACAAGTGAGTTAATTAAAAGTGAAATAGGAGATCGTTGGTTTGCGGTGCTTGTCGATGAGGCTCGTGATGCATCTATTAAGGAACAAATGGTGATACACGGTGGAGTACACATCACAAAACATTGGCACGTCTTATGATCATGTGGTCCTCTGTACTGGAGGTGTTAGAGAATATTAGCGAAGATGGAACTGATGGAGAAAAGAAAACTACAGCCTCTGGATTGATTCAAAGAATGGAGTCATTTGAATTTTTGTTCATATTATATCTTATGATCAGAGTATTGGGGATGACTCAAGACATGTCACAATGTTTGCAAAAAAAATCAAAACATTGTTCGTGCAATAGGATTAATTGGTTCTGTGATGAGAAATATGAATGAAATGAGGGAAAATGGTTGAGATGCTCTTTTTGAAGAGGTAAAGGAGTTTTGTCTCCTCAACAACATAGACATTCCTAATATGGAAGATATGATACCAGTTAGAGGTTGTTTGAGATATCGTGGTGCTAAATTAGTGAGTTACTACCATCATTTTCATCATGGAATTTTCAATGTTGTGATTGATCAAGTTTATTATGAGTTAAACAATTGATTTTCAGAAAGATCAACTCAACTCTTGAGATGTGTTGCTTGTCTTGATCCGAGGGATTCTTTTGCCAACTTTGAGGTACAAAAGTTAGTTGAGCTTGCTAAGATTTATAAAGATGACTTCTGTGATTATGACTGCATAAAGCTTGCGGGCGACCTTCTTATATTCATTGATGAAGTTAGAAATGATAATAATTTTGACACTTGTACTGATCTTGGTAACCTTGCTGAGAAGATGGTTTAGACTAAAAGACATACAGTTTTTTCTTTGATGTATCATCTCGTTGAACTTGCATTGATTTTGCCGATGGCAACAGCAACAGTTGAAAGAGACTTCTCTGCTATGAATATTATCAAGACCGAACGAAGAAATAAAATGAATGATGATTGGCTGAATACTAGCATGATGTGCTATATTGAGCGGGATTTGTTTGTGTCGATTGAAGACGAAAAAATTCTAAAGCGCTTTCAAGGCTTAAGAAACCGTAAGATAAATTTACCAAACGAGAGCTCAAGGTGTGTGTCCTTTACTTGTATTAGTTTATTTCAATACATAATGTTATTTTGCTTTATAAGGGGCTGAGATGTTGAAAATTTTTACGTAGAATTGAGGATGTCGGTAGAAGCAGAAGTGGTGTTAAATCATGAAGACTCTTAATTTGGTACTTTTCTACCTTCAATATTCTACATATTATTTGAGTCAGAAGCGGCGTCGTTCCTCCTCGGCCAGGCCTTCCGGTAAGAGATTTGGATCGTCCTTCTAGCCTGTAGTCAAGGTATTTGGGTCAGCCCATGAGTTGCGCGTTGCTCGCAACGTTGTCTATTGGGCCGAGCCTTTGTTGGGAAGCCGGTCCATGAGGGACCCCGGGTTTATGAACCCGATAGGAGCCCCCGAGCCCCCGGGTGATTCAGGTAGAATCATCTGAGTATTTTTGTCTCGACGGCGGGTGCGCGCGAGCGCACCCGTGGTTGTAGCCCCCAAGGCCCCGGGCGATTCGGGCAGAATCGTCTGGGGGGTTTTGTCAGTGGGCGTGTGTGCGTGGATTCTAGTTGAGACAGAGTCGTCAACCAAGGCGGTTAGTTTTAGGGATCGGGCGAGACGGACTCACGGATCCTAGCGTCGGCGCAGCCCGCGCAGCCGAGGCAGTTAGTTTAGGGATCGAGCAAGACGAACTCACGGATCATGGCGTCGATGCAGCCCGCGCAGCCGAGGCAGTTAGTTTAGGGATCGGGCGAGACGAACTCGTGGATCCTGGTGTTGGTGCAGCCCGCGCAGCCGAGGCAGTTAGTTTTTGGGATCGGCGGATCCTAGCCTCGGTGCAGTCCGCGTAGCCAAGATAGTTAGTTTTTGGGATCGGTGGATACTGGCGTCGATGCAACCCGCAACCGAGGCAGTTAGTTTAGGGATCAGGCGAGACGGACTCGCGGATCCTGGCGTCGGTGCAGCCCACGCAGCCGAGGCTGTTAGTTTTTATGACTTGAGCCCCTGAGCCCCGATTGGGCTTGGTAGGGGTCGGTTTGAGTTTTGTGCGTTACCCCATCCTTGGTTTCTCACAACCGGAGGGGCTAAGTTTTGTCACTTGCCTCGATCGCTCGGGCTTGAGTGACGCGCTCGGTGAGCTCGCTAACGGGTATGATCAAGGGGAATTCGGATCCGTCGTTCGTGACGGGGTCGGCATAGCCCTCTTGTGACATTCCACTGCTCCTTTACCTGCAACCCGGCAGATGCCTGGGTCATTTCGGAGACCGACCCGGGTGGCCCGCTGGCCTCCCATCGATGGAGATTCTGTGGGTTTGGTAGAGGTTTAGGATCGAACAAGAAGGTTGAGATGACCCTGTCTGCTTCGGGGCACACTAGGCGAGGGCCGCATGGGGCTCATCTGCGTTTTCTCCCCTGGCTCTATTTGACGCGAGGAGGCCTCGAGGCCTTTATGGGCCAACCTTCGAACCCCGATCGGTCGTTGCTCATGTTGAATGAGGCAACTGTCGCTTCATGACGCAACACGGAGCGTGTGATGCATTTAGCCACATGTGCGATGCCTTAGTTCTCAAGACCCCGGGCGATTCGGGCCCGAATCATCCGGGGGGTGCAGGCGTATAGAATGAATGCGTGTATGGATGTATGAATGATTATATATAAAGAAATAGTGGGTTTGGTAATGTTACCTTGATGATTCGAGTGACGGGGTTTGAAGAGCTTCAATCGGAATTGTCCGACCGAGATCCATGCTCGTCGTTCGTGACGGAGTTGGCATGGCCCACATGGGGCGTCCCTTTTCTCCTTACCAGTCTCTCAGCATTTTCTTGAGCCGTTCGATTGACTTTAGGGAGCCTGATGGTCTCTCTTGGGCGGAGATCCCGTAGTTGGGTCTTTCCAAGTCCCGCCTGGGAAGACGGAGGGCCACCTACGCATAGTGGTGCTTTGGTTCTTGCGCTCGGCGTGCGGTAGTGGTGGGCCATACCTAGGCCACGTCCCATCTGACCAGGCATCGTTCCATCGGTCAGTGTGTGTCCCATCGGTCAGGGCGCGTCCCATCGTTTCCCATCCGCATTGAATGGGGGAAGGGAGAGAGTTTTTCGCTCTGATCCTTTGCCCTTCTTCAGTTGCCATGTTTTCTCCTTAAATAGGGGAAGGGAGAGGGATTCTCGTCGTAGTGCTTTGCCTGTTTTCCAACTATTACTTCTCCTCCTTCTTCCTCCTCCCTGAGAGTGCCTGTATGCCACGGCGGTTCCTAAGTGAGAGAGAGGGTAAGCGAGGGGGAGGACTCACAGATCCCTTCATGAATCTAGAGCACAATGTCGAGCTGGAGGCTGTTGGAGGCGGTGCTGGCCGTCTTTGCCTAAGAAGGGGTGGCTTCCGCTGAAGGAGGTGGCGCGCTGGATTCATCTGCAAGGCCTTTTTAGGATGGAGCCGTGCGTGGACTCTTTCCGGAGGATCTTCACTGGGCAAGCCTGGTCGGAGAGGAAGTTGCCTAGGACCATGCTGGTGGAGGGTTTCGCGCCTGCAGCTGCTCAGGTTGGCTAGTTCATAAAGTTTGATGAGATGTCTTCTAGCCACGGTGGCCATACCTTGGCGGGCAGCGTCCCTGCCCAGGAGCTGCCTCGACTACATGAGAAGGTCAGGAACTCCATGCTCTTCTGCTGAGCATCTATGGGTGTGACGCCCTTGAGGTACCTGTTGCGTTCACCGAAGTCGAGGGAGCGGAACCGGGCGGGGTCCTTGAGGTACCCGTTGCGCTCGCCGAAGTCAAGGGAGCGGAATCGGGCGGGGCCCTTGCGGTGGTGGTTATGTCCGGTGGTATGTGTCGTGGCCTCACCTTTGGCGTCAGCTGATGTTGCTGAGTGGCCACAGTAGTATTTGGAGTAGAAGTAGTCAACAAATATAATCATTAAGTTTGCGGGAGCCCCCGTGTGAATAGTTTTTGTATCATTGAATACATCAGTTCTGTTTTTGTGATAGAATCACTATCCGTTCCTTGTTTTTTATCCTAGCATAGCTTTGTTTTTATCCTTTCTTTTTTGCACCTGCCCGTTTGTTCCATAGGTTGTAGCTTTCAAGAACCTGGGCATGGTCCGCGGGGCTCGGCTGTTCATAACCGTAGGTCATGGCGGGGTGCGTTCGGTTGGGAGTAAGAACAAAGTCACGTAGGGTAATCAAAGGAATAGAATGCCCTTTTGTTCGGGCAAAAAGTTTTTACTATATGATAGTAAAAAAGAGAGATAGTATTTAGTATTGTACCCTCATGGAGCCCCCGAGCGACCCGGGCTGAAAATGTTTGAGCTGGGGTGCTTTACAGGAGCAAGTGTTGACTAAAAAGCGGTAAGACCAAATTTAGGGGGGAAAACGACGTAGCTGTTCAATGTTCCAAGTGTTGGTGAGAACGTTGCCGTTGTCGTCCTCTAGTCGGTAGGCGCCCGGTCGGATCACTTTGGTCACCGTATAGGGTCCTTCCCATGCTGGAGAGAGTTTGTGTTTTTTCTTCGTTGATTGGGTCCTCTGGAGCACAAGATCACTGACTTCGAGGATCCTCCCCCTGATCTTCCTTTCGTGGTACCTATGGAGAGTTTGCTGGTAGCGAGCGGAGCGGATGACGGTCGTCTCGTCGGCCTCTTCGAGCAGGTCGACTGCGTCTTGCTGAGCCTCCACGGCTCGGTCGTGGTCAAAAGCCTTTACTCTTGGGGCGACATGGTCGAGGTCGGAGGGCAGCACTGCTTCAGCTCTGTAGGCCAGGAAGAGATGTGTGAACCCTGTGGATCGGTTTGGGGTTGATCTCAAGCTCTAGAGGATCGCCGAGACCTCGATGGAATCGTGGCGCGTAACCTCCTAAATTATAGGGCCCATATGCACTGCCATCGTCCAACGACCTTTGACATTTATGCATATGTTACCGATAACTTAAGAAGATCTGTCGGGTGTCCTCGGAGAACCCCGAATCATCCACGATTTCGGAAAGGTGATCACATTACTGAGTCATTGCGAAATTACAACATTTATCCAAATATCAACACAGAGTAAATCAGCGAAGTCTTACAATAACTTAGTTTACAAAACATTTATTTCAAACCTTACAAACTAAGTTCGATTATTATTACAAAACGTAGTAGTGGAGTGGCATTATAATATATACAAAACACACAAATATCAACGCTTTTCGCCTAAGGGCCACACATTACTTATCATCATCGATCAACAACAACATGTCATGCAAAGACGATCCAAAACAGATCGCTCATGAGCCTCACCTGCAACAAGGGTCAACAAACCCCGAGTAATGAAAGTACTCAACAAGACTTAACCGAAATAAAAAGCGAAAAGACTCGGGAATGCGGGCTCGAGGATTCAAGGTATGGCTTTAGCAATAATCAAAGTTCTTTTGCTTAAAAGCACTTTAACAAAATTCTTTGTATCAATATTTAAAATCTCATCGATCATATACAAAGTCGACACGATCCGTATTAAGATCATGAAACTTCATATCCAACACTTTCTCGAACCATTCTCGAGTTCCGATTATTAATACTACGATGATGAACAGAGAAGCGAGTCTCCATAACCGAGGAGCAACGACGATTCGAACCGATTATAACCCAGCTGGGAATTCCAGACCACACGACATATGTAGGTCCCGACCTACATATACCAACCTACCCTTGGATCCTCTAAACAAGAACGGGTCCAGCGCCACCCGAGAGCACAAGACACCTCAAATCCGCCACATTCCAGCCACGAGGGTACACGCTTCT